ATGAAGTAGCAACGAAAATAATTTTATGGTTGGGTCACAACATGAGGAACTGTATTTAAAGGGCCAGAAGGTTGAGAACCACTGACCTATGTGATGAAACCCAGAACGCATTTGAGGTTTCTGACTGCCAAGGGAAGGAGGGAAACCCATTTAGACCCACAGTTCTCCAAAATGGAAAGAGAGCTAACATGTATTGTGTTCTTACCCCAGAAAGCATGAGAGACACTCAGGGGAAGCAGGGCTTTTCAGGCACGAAATTATAAAAAAAAAAAAAAATCCGTGGGACTTGACAAAAGAGGACCTTGAGTGAAGTGATAGGCAGTGTCCTCCTACAACCACCCGACAGCTGTGCGCCCTGAGACAGAAGGGACGGCGATGCTGTTTGTTCCCAGGACGCACGGCCCTGAATACCCTGGTCCGGTCTCTAAAAATAGTCCCGTCTCACTGAGAGGTGAGCGGAACTGTCTCCTGAACCCGCGCTGTCTGGCCGCGGCGCTCTGCAGTTAGTGTCGGCTGGCAATGGCTTGTGTTGTTTTGAAAGTATCAGAAAGGGGCGGTCTCTGATGTTCATTCCTGGCGTGATCGGAGCGTTTGGGAGCGCGGTGCAGAGATGGTGTCATGTATTGACTTGAAATTGGCGAAGTGGGGGAATCGTGGGCTGGTCCTTCCTCGTGAGTTCTCCCAATCACAGTCGCTCGGGTGGCGGCTGAATGCTGGCCTTCTCCCAGAGGCCCCAAGGCTGCCTCTGTCCTAACCCACATGGGCCAGCGAGGAAGAAAGCCACGGGCCACGGAGTCCGCTTCAGCACCGAGAGGCCGGAGCTGCAGGCTGGTGGCTCTGTAACGGCATCTTTTCACCTCTCAGCGCCCTCGACCGGGCAGCGCCCCTCCAGCGGAGCTTCTCACCCCCGTGCTGGCCTCTTCAGTCTCCGCACTTGGACTGGGGCTGGAATAAGAGGACATCGGGACACGCCAGCTTTCTTTTTTTTAAAAAATATTTTATTGATTTTTTTACAGAGAGGAAGGGAGAGGGATAGAGAGTTAGAAACATCGATGAGAGAGAAACATCGATCAGCTGTCTCCAGCACACTCCCCACTGGGGATGTGCCCGCAACCAAGGTACATGCCCT